TGTCCATTCATCTGTTGTCATAGGGTCTGCATGATTTCATCAATTTACCATGCCCTGGGTCATCTTTGCCTGCAGTGTATGAGGTAGACAATATTGGCCAAGTCACAGCAGTATCTGCCATGCACGTGGTGGGTGGTGTTCCCACGTGTGATGGTAGTGCCCATGTTGATGATCTGACATATCTTGCAGAGGTTGCCATGACAGGGCTGTATGGTGTTGTGGTTGATGTTGTCCTGAAGGCTGTGTGGTTTGCTGTGAACAATGGTCTGTTTAAGGTTTGGCCTTTTTTTTTAGGCAAGAGGTAGAGGCGTGGGGAAGATCTTGGTGAGGTGCTCACCATCATCGATAATGTGTTGAAGGCCGCGAAGAACATGGTGTAGTTTCTCCACTCTGGAGAAGTGCTGGACGACAAAAGGTACTTTATCAGTCATATCCCGTGTCTGCCTTCTGAGGTCATTGCAGTTTTTAGTTGTGGCCCATCAGAACTGGTGATTGATGAGTTGAGCATCATATCCCATTCTTATGAGGGTGTCCTTCAACACCTTCAGGCTTCTGTCATGTTCCTCCTTATCTGAGCAGATCCTGTGTATGCGTAGGGCTTGTGCATAGGTGTTGGATTTTTAAAATATGTTTATGGTTGAAGCTAGAGAAGTGCAGCATTGTGAGGTTATCCGTAGGCTTGTGGTAGAGTGAGGTATTGAGGTGTCCATCCTTGATGGAGATGCGTGTGTCCAAATGCACAGCAAAGAAATCTTATCTGAACTTGTGCATGAAAATGTTGGCATATTGCAGTGCAAATCTGGTCCTCACGGCTGTTCCACGTGTCTGGATGAAGAACTGGTTGTCGAAGGTGAAGACGTTGTGGTCGAAGATGAAGCGGATGAGTTGTAGGATGGCGTCTGGAAATTGGCAGTTGTTGGTATTGAGTACTGAGGCCATTGCAGCAATGCCATCAATGTGGGGGATGCTGGTGTAGAGTGCTGAAATGTCCATTGCGACGAGGAATGTTCCTCATTCGACTGGTCCATGGGTGCTGAGTTTCTGTAGGAAATCTGTATGTTGCAACAGAAGTTGGAGGTTCCTAGTACAATGAGTTTCAAGATGCCCTTGACATAGCCAGAGAGATTATCACACAGGGTCGCATTGCCTGATACAACGGGATGTCCAGGTGTGTTGGTTTTGTGTATCTTCGGAAGGCAGTAGAAGTCCCCTACCTGAGAAGTACATGGGATGAAAGTGCGTAGTGTACTCTGAAGGACTAGATCAAAAGTCTTGATCGGTCTGTTGAGTTCACGGGTGTGTTCTTTGGTCGAATAGGCAGGTAGTTGTCTGTAGAGTTTCTGGTTGTTCAGTTGTTGGTACACTTCCTTGTAGTTCATTCTATTCTGTATGACAATGGCTCCTCCTTTGTCTGCTGGTTTGATGACAATGTTGCGATAGGTCTTGAGAGCATGGATGGTGGTGCACTATGCCTGGGTGACGTTTTGCACTGCCTAGTTAGTGCAGCTGATGAATCTGGCATTCACACATTCTCTAATGATTTGAGCTTACATGTCGAGCCTATAGCAGCAGCCTTTGGGAAGGGTCCAATTTGACTCGTTTGGTCGCTCCACCATGGATATGTCTGTCAACTGTTCCAGTTAGTTTATTCTCTCATTGAGCTTGCTGCTAACATATTGCAAGAATTACCGGAGTCTCATTCATCCGATGAATTCCCCTGTGTCTGCGGCAAGACCAATGGGGTCCATTTTGGTGGTGGAGCAGAAATTGAGTCCTCGGCTGAGAACTTTGATTTTGTCCAGTTGAGTCAGTTGTATGATCCTTTGATCTTTTACTTACAAATTCTGTGTCTTGATACTTCCTCTCTCACTACACCCGAGGAAGGAGCAACGCTCTGAAAGATAGTGTTTTCAAATAAACCTGTTAAGACTATAACCTGGTGTTGTGTGATTTTTGACCTTGTCCAACCCAGTCCAGCACCGGCACCTCCACATCAGATTTTAGGGTACAGACAACTGAAGGCATGCGATTAAAATTCAGTATATTCAAAAGGTTGAATTAGATATCCCAAGGGAGTTGTGGCCTGGAGGAGATTGCAGAGGTGAAGAGAGGCAAGACCATCGAGGATTTTGTAAATAGGGACAAGAATGTTAAAACAGAGGTATGTCTTGACCTGCAACCAACATAGCAAACTGTGTATAAAGGATTAAAAATTAATAAAATTTGGTGCAAGTTAGGACATAGACAGCAGAACTTTGCATGATTTCAAGGTTACAGAAAGTGAAAAACAAGAGGCTAGCTAGGACTATGTTGCACTTGGATAGCTTACCATGACTCACCATCTGGACTCCTACCAATCCTGGTCTCCAAACAATTATATTCCAGCACTGTCAAGAACAGGAGCATTTTATGAAACTAAAATACTGCAGATGTTAAAAATCCACTATATGACAAGAGAATTTTGGAAATCAAAATCTGTAGGAGTTAACATTTCAAGTTCAGTCTCTGCAGGAGGATCCTAACCTGCTGTGTGTCTCCAGCAATCTCTGCTTCTTTGTCACTGAGTTTATACTCAATCACGACTCCATTCCATCCAGCTTGACTCTGAGTCAGGGGGTCTGGCTTCAAGTTCTACTAGAGCAATTGAGCATAATACATGAAAGCTGAAACTCCCAGTATAGCACCGAGGGTATGCAGCACTGTCAGAATTTCTGTCCCTTACATGAGACATTAAACTGAGGGGCTCTCTATGTTTGGGTTTGTGCAAAAAAAATCCCATGACACTATTCCAAGTAACAGAAGGGGACATATCCCTGGTGTCTTGGCCAATCATGGTTCAATCAACGTGACAAGATACATTCCTGTTCATTATCACGTGGCCATTTGTGAGAATTGCTGCATGCAATCGGCTGCCATGTTCCCTGCATGAAGACGGTCATAAATTCAACAGCATTTCATTGGCTGTAAAACACTTTGTGATGCCCAGTAGTCCTGAAAAGCGCTATTTAAATGTAAGTCTTTTTTACAGTTACTCAGGCATACAATAGCTACTAGTGACTAACCCCAAGCCAATAATCCAGAAAAGGTGATGATGAAAGGCAGTCAATTTTTCTCATCTTTATAAAATTGCTTTTGCAACAACTTTGCATCAGATTTACTGTGGATTGGTGTTAGTCTTGTGAAACCTTTGAGTGAATTCCACAGCTTTGAATGTGTGGCTGCACCAGATCTATAATGTAGCTTGATCTTTGTCCTTTCCAGTGTAAATCCAACAGCCGCAAAAAGACGCTACTACATATGTTTCTGATCATGAGTATATTTAGGTTGCAAATATTGGAACATGTTTAAATAAATACACCAAAAGAATTTAAAATACTTGGAAACAGATGTATCTTTTCACTGGCACAAACATAAGTGTGTGTGAATGAACCACAGCATTAAACGTTAATTCTTTGGTGTATTTCACACTTACCTCATTAGTCATGATGTGGAAGTGCTGGTGTTGGACTGAAGTGGACAAGGTCAGAAATCACATGACACCAGGTTATATTCCAACAGGTTTATTTGAAAACAAACTTTTGGAGTCAAAGGTGTGAACCTTTGATCTTTACTTATAAATTCTGTGTCTGATCCTACCTCTCTCACTAACACCTAAAGGACTGAGGCTCTAAAAGCTTGTTTTCAAATAAACCTGTTAGACTATAACCCGGTGTTGTGTGATTTCTGACCTTGTTTACCGCATTAGCACATCCAGAGACTGGACTCGTCCTTCAACTGAAAGGGAATGAATACAACTGGCCCACACAGACACTCAATAAGCGACTGCATCATTGTGAAATGGTTCAAATTGTCCTCCAAAATGCTCTTCATCAAAATGTGAGCACCAATGGTCCTGGCCTGCACCCCCACTTCTGGGGCAAAGTCAAGGGTGGACAATCACGGCAACTTATTTATGTAACACCTTTAAGGTACCAGATGTAACATTCCTTTCACAGAAGGCCTCATCAAACAAAATTTGTCACGAAGCTACTGGACAGATGACCAAAAGCTTGGCCGGAGAGCTAAGTTTTATGGAGCATATTAAAGGAGGGCAGATTTACCGAAATAATTCTTGCAATTTACAAACTCATTAGTGCATAAGCCAGACTGATGATGCTAATAACACCTCACCTCAGATAAATTCTCTAAGGAGAGGGAAAAAAAAGTTAATAATTCACGTCTGATATCTTCTTTTCCCTCAAGACGTACTGGACTCAAAATTAACTCTAAATCTGTCTCTCTTTCTCCAAAGATGCTGCCAGATTTGCTGAGTTTCTCCAACACATTCGGTTTTTATTTCAGATCTCCAGCAAGTATTTTGCTTTTGCATGAAGATTTGTTTATTCCATTCCCCGTCCTTTACTGTCGATGGAGAACAAATGTTAAACAAATCAGACAGGAACAGGAACCCAGGACTCACATTTCATTGGGTAGCTGCCAAGCTTGAGAGGAAGGTTTAAATCAGTTGGGATTTGCAGTCCTGCTTGCTCTGTAGTGAAACGTGTAAAGTGCACATGTGGATGCTATGAACGGCAAGGCTATGCTCCCAAGTGTGAACAGAACAGTAAAGACAGGCTTTATGTATCAAGAATTGCTGTATTGTAAAAACGTGAAGCAGAAATAATAGACAGGAAGCAGTACTGAGGGGAACAAAGCTATAAAAAGAAAGTATTTTCCTTGAAATACTTTTGGTGATGCAACATTGTACAAATGCATTCGGTGTAAAACATAAGTGATTAAGAAAAACTTCAGCAGAATTATGAAATAATGAAATATGAACAACAAAGCGACCAGGATAGTGTGATGTCTCAATAGCCTCATCATAGTCAGAAGTGCTGTCAATGATAATCCTAAATGTTTTAAAAGACAATAATTCAGCCTTGGTGCTCCCTTGTTTAGGCATGATTGTAAATACTTTAAATTTTATTCTTAATCTTAAAAAAGGAACATTATTACAAAGCTATTTTTCAAAACCTTTTGTTTAATTTCACATTGTACAAAAATAACCAATGAGATTTTAGAAAATACAGATTAATTTATCACAGCATCCATTCATAAAAGCACTGTCTTGCAATGACTGTCATTTACTAACTTCATTTTTTTTTCTCCCACTCTGAAGTGCCATGGAGGGAGTTTTATATTAAAAGGACAATATAAACAAGCTTTATGATGCAAATATTACTGTATGGATAACAAATTAACACGAACCTCCTGTGACCAGTAGACTCCAACCTGGGTTTAAAACTGGTTAGTTACACATTGAACATGCAGTTGCTAAAATCTGTCTGGCAGAAATTTAAGGTCCAGGCAATATCGTAACTCTCAGATAGCAACATTAGAGATTGTGAACTGTTTGATGGTTCTTGTTCTTCAGGACAGAAAGTGCACAGGTGCATGGCACATTAACATTGATCCTTTCTACTATAAATGTGGAATTCATAATGGAAGTACATTTTAAAAGTAAGAATATATACCTTTAGAATAATTTGTCCAATCTCTGCCCCTACTATATGAGTGGTACATTTGGCCTCAACTCCACAGATGCACTGACACAGGTACTGAACTAGTATTCATGAAATTTTCCAAAGATGATTTGGAGCCTTCCTCCTGTGGAGCCGAGGAATGGTTGTGAGCATCCACATCATTCAGCCACAGTGAGGCACTGGAATCTACATGAGATGGTCTTAATCTTCCACCGGCTCCTCTGAACATTCACTGGTCCATCCAACTCTGCGACTTGTCTAATTTGCGCTGTAGGTACCTGGCCCGAGCTTCAGATATAGATTTCTCATCATTTCTCTTTTCCAGTTTCTTTTGGACTACTTCTAGAGTTTGCTCTAAAGGGGTAGTGTGTGGAAAGTTAAAACATTGTCAGTTAAACCCTCAAACAGTAGAGTCACAGCATAGCACAGAAAAATGTCCTTCGGCCCATCGTGTCTGCGCCAGTCAAACACAACCACCTAACTATTCTAATTCCATTTTCCAGCATTTTGTCCGTAGCTTTGTATAGCTTGATATCGCAAGTGTACATCTAAGTATTTCTTAAATGTTATGAGGGTTTTTGCCTCTATGCCCTTAAAGGCAGTCAATTCCAGATTCCCACCACCCTCTCAGTGTCATACAGTGTCATACACGGCACAGAAATAGGCCCTTCAGTCCAGCATGTCTGTGCCAACCAACAAACACCAAACTATACTACTTCCAATTACCTGCATTTGCTCCATAGCCTCCACCACCCTCTCAGGCAGGACATTGCATATTCTATCACCCTCTGGGTGAAAAAAAACTTTCCCCTAAACTATTAATGCCTCACCTTAAACTAATGCCACTGATTTTAGACACATCTGCTATGTGGAAAAGATTCTTACGATCTAACCTGCTTACGTCTCTCTCAATTTTCGATACCTCAATCAGATCCCTCCTCAGCCTCCTCTGCTCCAAGGAAAACAAATCCAGCCTATCCAGTCTCTCCTCATAATGGAGACTTTTCATCCCAGACAGCATCCAGGGGAATCTCCTCTGTTCTCTCTCCAGTGCAATCACATGCTCCCGATAGTGTGGCAACCAGACTGCACACAGCATTCCAGTGGCCTAACCAATGTTTTATAAAATTGTAACAAGACTTCCTCGTTCCTATATTGTATGCCTCGACTAATGAAGGCAAGCATCCCTTCACCACCCTGTGCTGACACCTCAGAGATCTATGGGCTTTTACACCAGGGACCCTTAGTTCGTCTCCCTAGAGTCCTGCCATTCATTGTGTATATCTTTCCTTTATTATACCTATCAAAATGCATCACCTCACACTTTTCAGGATTAAACTCCATCTGCCATTCCTCTGCCCAATTTACCAGCTGATCAATATCAGACTTGCCTGAGACCACCCCCTTCACTATCAACAACACCAATTTTCATGTCATCTATGAATTTACTAATTATACCTTCTACATTATATCCAAGTTGTCAACGTTAATAACCAACTTCAAGGGTCCCAGCTCTGATCCCGACAGTACACTACTGGTCACAGGCTTCCAAACACAAAAATGACTCTCTACCATCATCCTCTGCCTCCTATTTGCAAACCAATTTTGGATCCGGTTTGCCAACTTGCCTTGGATCACATGGGCTCTTACCTTTTTGGTTCAGCCTTCCACGTGGGGCCTTGTCAAAGGCTTTATCAAAGTCCATGTAAACCACATCTATCGTGTTCCCTCAACAATATATTGTCACCTTTTCAAAAAGGTCAATTAAATTTGTCAGATAGGATCTCCCTCTCGCAAACCCACGCCAATTATCCCTGATCAATCCCTGTCTTTCCAAATGTTGATTAATCCTATTTGTCAGAATTTTTCCAATAATTTTGCTTACCACTGACATCAGCCAACCAGTCTGTAATTACCTGGCCTGTCCCTGCTGCCCTTCTTGAGCAAAGTAACCGCATTAGCTATCCTCCAGTCATCTGGCACTCCACCTGTGGCCAGCGAAATATTAAATATCTCGGTCAGTGCCCCAGCAATCTCCGTCCTGGTCTCCCATAGCAGTCTGGGACATCTCTCATTTAGTCCTGGGGATTTAAGCACCTTTATGTCTACTTAAAAATCTAATGCCTCCTCCTTATTAATCTTAACATGTTCTAGAATCTCAACATCCCAACCAAAATCCCTGGCAACAATGTTTTTCTCCTTTGTGAATACAGATGAGAAATATTCATTTAAGACCTCACCCTCGTCCTCTAGCTCCACATACAGATTGCCCCTTTGGTCTCTAATCGGCCCCACTCATTCCATGGTAATCCTGTTACACTTAACATACTTAAAAAATGTCCTGGGATTTTCCTTAATCCTATCTGCCATGATATTTTGTGGCCTCTTTTTGCCCTAATATCCTTTTTTAAGCACGCCCTACACACTACAGTTTAAAATAAGCTGTACCTAACGTATGTTTCCTTCTTTTTGTTTATCAAACTCCCGATATGCCTTGACATCCAGGGTTCCCTGGACTTGCTGCCCTTGCCTTCACTCTGAGGGGAACACATTGGCCCTGAATTCTTAATATACAAATGTAGACTTATCTTCAAGTAGCTGCTCCCATTCTATGTTTGCCAGATCCTGTCTAATATCATTGAAATTACCCTTCCCTCAACTTAGACACTCAACTTCTGCATCACCTTTATCCCTTACCTGAATGACTTTGAAACTTACAAAATTGTGGTCACTATCCTCAAAATACTCAGCCAATGAAACTTCAACCATGCGACCAGCTTCATTCCCTACAATTAGCTCTAGCACTGCCCTTGCCTTGCAACCATGTCTTAAGTGATTGCAACAATTTTGTATTTTCACATGCTGATCCACATTTCCTCACATTCACTAAGAACCTCCTAGGCTTTACCTTAAAGCTATGCCCCTTCGTCATTGACCCCTCCACCAGGGGAAAAGTTCCTTCCTGTCTACCTTGTCTATGCCCTTCATAATTCTAGACATCTCTATCACGTCCCCCCCTCAGTCTCTTTCCCATCGAGGAAAAGAGCTCCAGTCTGTCCAACCTCTTTTTGAAACTAAAAATTTCCAGCCCAGGAAACATCCAAACTCCTCTAGCAGAACTACCTACGCACTGGCACAAAAAGCTCTCCTGCATGCACCCCATCTAATCCTTTCACACTAAGGTAATCCCAGTTAATGTTGGCAAATCTGAAATCCCTTACAACTATAACTATTTCTCCTGCATCTTTCTGTGATATGCCTATATATCTGCTCCTCTGTCTTCCTCTGACTATTGGCAGGCCTGCAGTATAATCCCAACAAAATAATCACCCCTTTTTATTTCTAAGCTGAACCCAAATGTCCTCATTTGAACATCCTCCCTTATAACTGTAGTGATGTTTTCTTTTATCAATAATGCAATGCCTTTACATCTCTTACATTACCCCGTATCCCACCTGAAACGTCTATACCCTTGAATGTTGAACTGCCAGTCCTACCCTTCCTTCAACCATGTCTTAAGTGATTGCAACAATTTTGTATTTTCACATGCTGATCCACATTTCCTCACATTCACTAAGAACCTCCTAGGCTTTACTTTAAAGCTATGCCCCTTCGTCATTGACCCCTCCACCAGGGGAAAAGTTCCTTCCTGTCTACTTTGTCTATGCCCTTCATAATTCTAGACATCTCTATCACGTCCCCCCCTCAGTCTCTTTCCCATCGAGGAAAAGAGCTCCAGTCTGTCCAACCTCTTTCTGAAACTAAAAATTTCCAGCCCAGGAAACATCCAAACTCCTTTGCACCCTCTCCAGTGCAAACACATTCCAATTATAGTGTGAATTCCAGAACTGCACACAGCTGCCAGGACTTTGCCAATGTTTTATACGATCCCTGCTCTTAAACTCTAAGTCTTGGCTACAAAAGGCAGATATACCCTCCACCTTCTTAACCACTTTGTTCGCCGGTCCTGATACCTTCAGGGACATGCACACTAAGGTCTCTCTGATTGTCAGCACTTCTCAGTGTCTTACCGATCATCATGTATTCCCTTGTCTTGTTTGTCCTGCCCAAGTGCAACATCTCACACTATCCAGATTGAATTCTATTCCATTAATATCAGTAGTGCTCAGCATTTCTGGTCACAGTTTAACTCTTGGTTCAGACATTTCAAAACTAAACACAGTAAGCTGCCATGAGAAATCAGTGATAAACGATATCTCATGCCCGGTGCAATGCTGAACGGCAGAGGTAGGGGGGTACCCAGGTTTGCTTTCTGCGGTGTGTGGAGTTAGCTGTTACCCGAAGAGCCAGTTTTTGAGGTGCTACATTTAAGAATTGACCTGAGTATCTCTGGGCAAGGAAGGGCAGTGGGATGGAGCTGTAATACATCCATTATTCCTGCTCTCGATTGCTATCTGATGACTTGTACTGGGAAGTGCATGGATCCACACGGAGACACATGTTCAAATAGCTGTATAATATTACCTGTTAAGCCAAGGCAAGCAGTACAAGGGCAAAGCATCAAAGGGCAAAAAGTGCACACGGAACTGTGTACTTTTCAGGTCATTTTCAGGTTGGCAAGTTGTAACAAGTGGAATGTTACAGCAATCAGTTCTGGGCCCTCAAATATTTACAGCCACATCAATAACAATGGATGAAGGGAACAAATGTACACTTGTTAAATATGTTGATGACATATGATAAGCAGGAAATTAAACCATGAAGAGGACATAAGGGGTCTAGGTTAAGAGAGTGGGCAAATAATGTTTGACAGATGGAGTATAATATGGGAAAATATGAACCTGTCCACTTTGATAGAACCTGAGGAGGAGTGATACTGAACTCTAAATGTTCACTCTGATCCTTTCTTTACAAATGCTGCCAGAAAGGGCTGGGTTAGGGTTTCTCCAGTACTCTCTGTGATCATTCAGATTTCCAGCATCTGTAGTATTTTACTTTTATTTGCTGTTGTGTGCAGTAATTTGGCATTTTACATCAAGCAGCTACATATCCCAAGTTATTTTTAATTTGTTCAGTTTTCAGCTGCAGGAAATCAATGTTTGACATAAGATGTTGAATGGTGCACCACGACTCATTCACAAGTGCGATACCAGGATGGATTTAACCAACTAACACAAGTTGCAAAGGTGGCAGTGGGTGAGGGCACAGAATGACACCAAGCCTGATAGGTTAGACGCTGCTAGGGGAGGCTTGGAATGCGATTCTTGCTTCTGATCACCAGTAAATGCCAGGAGAGAAAGCAATCGGAAGGAGATGAATAACTGGCTAAAGCTCCCAAATCCATGGCTTTCATCCTTTCAGTAGGAGGTCGATGGATGCTGGTGCATGGAAACAGCACTACTTCCATGTTACACACAACATTCATCCAGCTCAGGTTTTCCTTCACCAATGCGGAGTCAAAATCCCAGAGCGCCCTCATTGACAACACCTTCACCACACAGGCTGCAGTGGTTCAAGAAGACAGCTCACTGCTACCACCTCAAGGACATTCCTGGGGTGGGGGGGTGGGTGTTTTGAAGTGGGAGGAGGAGCTGGAGGAGCTCACCTGATTGTTTTTTGGTCTTGTTTAATGCCTCTCTTTGCTGGGTCGTGCTCCCTGCCACCTCATCCTTTGCGATGCTGCTCAGCTGGTACACGTCAACCTCATGTAACTTGGGCAGCAGATCCTTCACCCACTCATAACGGACTGGGCATAGTGTTCGCACATAAATCTTTGACGTGACTATAACGTCATGAAAGATGACCCAATCGAGCTGGCTTTCTTGATCAAACAGCTGGGAACAAGTTTGAGAAAGCTACAGTAATGCGATTTTTAAACAATTCTTTTTCAAAATTTACTTTGTACTTCCCGCCATACAATATTCTCAACTCAAGGGAGAATCAACCCCCGTCCTCTACCTGGATCTAGACTCCTCACTATTTGTCACTTTCTTTAGCCCAACAACTCATTGATAACATTGTGCCTTCTAATTCTGGGCCCTTGTGTATCCCCAAATTCTCTTTCCCCCACCAATGGCAGCATTCCCTCTAGCTGTCCAGCTCCTAAGGTTTGGAATTTCTGCCATAAATTTCTGCCCCCTTTGATGTTCCTTGAAACCCATCTCAATGACCAAGCTTTAGGTCACCATAGTAACATCTCAATTGCTTTTGCTTAATTATGCTTGTGAGAGGCTCCATGGGACCTTTAATAACATGGAAGGCGCTATATAAATGCAAATTTACCTCAGATCCTTGAAAACTCACTGGGCACGTGCACAAGACATATATCACAGAATTACAGAATCATGGAAGGAAGCCATTTGGCCTGTCATGTTCATGCTGGCTTTCTGTTGTTTACTCGGCTAGTCCTACACCCCTCCTTTTTCCTGTATCCTTAAAACTTGTTTTCTACTCCAGATGATTATCAAATCCTCGTTTGAAAGGTGTGACTGAATTTGCTTCCTCTACTCTTGGGCAGTGCATTCCAGATCTTAACAATTGCTTGTGTAGAAGTTTATATCCTCACACAGCCACTACTTTTTTTTAAAAAAAAACTAATTACTTTAGTGTCCTCTGGTTCCTGACCCATTTACCAAAGGGAACAGTTTCTCCCAGGTTACAAGCCACTATAAAACCACATGGGCTATGGTCTTATCGTCTACCTTTTCCAGTTTCATGATTTTGAGTACCTCAATCAATTCTCTTCCTAACATTCTTTTCGGGAGAACAGCCCAATTTCTCTCATCTATCCACAAAACTGGAGTCCCTCACCCCACGAACCATTCTCCAAATTCTTGATAAATTCAAGATAAACTCAATTACAATATATTACATACGATGGAAGACGGATGAATGTGGACAGCTGATCCGTGTCCATCCATGGTGTGAAAGGTTTTACCCACAGACCTGCAAGAACATACACCAAGTGTTACTCTTAACATTTAAACTTTGTCAGGTCATATACACTCCAAATCCTCATTATCCAACGGGGGATGGGGCACAGACCTCCCAGTGTAACAGAAAACGTGCATACTGCCACAATGTAAATCTCTCACCCACTGTGAAGGGCTGTGTAACCAGACAGGACGAGTGAATGGGAAATAAAAACAAAAACAATACAAAAGAAAATCAGGTGAGGCTGACATCATGAGTACTTGGTTTTGCAATTAAGAGGTGTCAGTATATTCGCCAGGCAACCTGTGCCAGCCCTTTAAAAGCAAAATTCCCCTGATGTTGGAAATCTGAAATAAAACAGAAAGTACTGGAGAAACTCATCGGCATCTGTGGAGAGAGAAATACAGTTAACTTTTTGAGTTTGGTACGATTCTTCTTCAAAACTCCTGAAGAGGTCATATGGGAAACAAAACGTTAACTCTGTTAACGAAGGTGAGGCAGAAACCAGGCAGATGGGAGCACCGCTCCCTCTCCATTGCGGGTAAAAACCTGGTCATCAGCTGTGAGGCAACTCTTTCTGTTGTTCTATGTGGTGCAGGTCTGGCCTATCCCGAGGGCTTGTACTGCTGCAGTCACCTAAGCCAGCTTCCCTAGATAGGGGAGTGGGGGAGCGGAGGTTGCGGTGGGGGTTGTACCCAACATTACCCTCATCCTGATGGACACCTTTGTGTGCAGTTGCATCGAACTGCGTATAGACCATTGGTACACAAATACTAAGTGTCACTCTGTGCTGAGGTTCGACCTGTTCCCACTTTTATGAAAGATCGCCCTGCTCTCATTGACATGGAATGCTCCAAGTACTTGGACCTGTCCCTTATGGAAAGATTTGTGAAAGAAAACACCTTTGACCACCACTCCATCAGGAAGTGGTCAGCATGTAACATCCTTGAGACACCGAAGGAAAAGGAGAGGGGGGATCCTGCCATGTGGCTCCCTGAGCATACTGTAAGTCATTTGGCAGAATGCCTCATCACCAGAACTTTCCAACAAGCACCAAGACATCGCAGGCTCTACCTGTGAGATCCTTCTTATACACCTGGTCTCTGTGCACCACCCCGCACACTGCCCTCGAAGTGGCAGAGTTGGGTGTGGTGGGGGGAGACTGTCACACATCTCCTTTTGGAATGTGCCTTTGCAAAGGAAGTCTGGAGGAAGATGCAATGGTCTTTGTCGAGGTTCATCTTGAGCAGCTCCGTAACACGGGACTCTACAGCCTGTTCCCCGGGACACACACTGCGACAAACATCACTGTGCCGGGAGGACCGTCAACTCAGTGAAAGATGCTCTTTGGTCTGCCTGAAACTTGTTGGTCTTCCAGAGTAAGGAGTTGACCTCAACTGTCTGTTGCTGACTGGCACATTCCAAAGTCCAGGACTGCGTGCTGAGGGACGCACTAAAGCTTGGGGCAGCTGCTGCCAAAGTAATGTGGGGAAAGATCAGCATCTGAGGTCTCTCTGCAGAAGTACAATGGAGGTCCGTTCAGTTATCAGACCCTCCTGATGCCTCAGATACATGTAAATGGTACCTTGCTTAATTAAGAAATGCCTTTGGGTTTGTTGCGACTATCGAGAGAGTAAAACTCAAATGTTTGTGCTTTTTCCTCTGTACATAAAGACTGTACAAATTTGAACTGCATTAGTAACTGCGTGTACATAAAAGATTTTTTCATGAATAAAGTATATTCTTGTAATATAAAAAAAAAATTAGATAGCACCAATGTGTCTTACCTTGACGAAAGAAAAATTAAAGAATGACAAGAAACCTGGTCCCACGGGGTAAAAGAGAGTCAGGAATCTCTGGCCATTCTGAGGAGCTGCCTGCTTACCTTCTGGCCACGTTGCAGAAATACCCAGCACACAAGCACCTTCTCAGCAGCTCAGACCTGGAGCCATTGAAGGTCTCTGAGGGGAAGTCCTTCTTCTGCAGATAATGACAATATAGACATTTGATTAAATTTTAAGCAGCAGGTATAACAGTCCAAGTGAAGCGAGTCAGCGACAGAAAATGAAGAGGAACAGCTTTTCTTCACTGGCAGCCTTCAAAAATAGTTTTGAAGCTGAAATTCGATTACAAGAGACACTTGAGCACTCCCACCTGTTTCAGTTTATCGAGTATTTCTCGTAGCTGTGTCTCTACGTTAAATGCAGTCTTCATCGCTCGCCAGTGGATCCAATGTTCACGGCACCAGGAAGCCGGCGAGTCACTGAGGGTGAAGATCACATGTCAGTGCGCACAGGCATGGGGCACTGCAGCAGGTCGACAACAGCCGAGAATAAACAGCACCTAAAAATCTCTGGATCGAGGGCTGGAACTCACACAGCGTTGTCCCAGATTTCATCCAAATCCTTTCCTGACAGTGTCATCCACACCTTGCCTAAGGGGTCATTCTTTGGGGTCCAGTGAATTCTGGCAGCTACTCAACCACAGGGGACTTCATAGCCGTGCCATGATCCTGTCACTCAAGGTCTGAACACTTCCCCAACAGTGATTAGCAAACAGAAGCTTTTGACAGGTCTTCCCCACTCCAACAAGGAGCACGGAGAATAATCAAGGTGATCCTGTTAAGACCAGTTAACAGAGCGCAGGCTACTTCTTTGATGGTCCCCTAAAGGCCAGCACCACGTCAGCTGGTGGATGTACTTGGCAAACCACTGCAATGTTGCACAGTGTGCCAGACTTTCAGAAACTCAAATTCTTAATGCAGGCTGACACTCCCAGCACAGCACTGAGGGACTGCTGTTATTTGAATGAGATGAATGAACCTGTCAATTAGGAGCAGGAGGAGGTGATAACCGCCCCTTCAGCCTGCTCTGCCATTCAATAAGATCAAGGTTGCTCTGATAGTGACCTCAACTCCACATTCTCACCTAATCCTGTTCACCTTTGACTCTCTTGATCTACCTATATCTGCCTTAAAAATATTCAACGATGCTACCTCCATCACTCTCTAGGGAGGAGAGTTCCAAAGGCTCATGACTCTCAGAAAAAAAGAACTCCTTCTCATCACCATATTAAACTCTGTCCTTCTTGAACATTAAATCCAGGTTCCCAACATTAACTACACTTCAAAATAATTTAATTGCCTGTAAAGTGCTTTGAGACTTCCCAAGATCCCAACAGATATCAGAGAAAAGCAGGTTGTACTTTTTTTAATTGCATTTGAGAAGTCCCTGATCTCCATCGATATAGAGACAGCTAAGTTCAGGATTCCCCACCTCTCCTGTCTACTACAAGCAAGTGCTCTCACAAGCCCAAGCATTCTGTACTTCCCTCTCTGTCCTGGTTAAGCCGAGTCAGCCTCCTCAACGCATTGCCCACTCCACGCTTACCTCGCTCTGCACTTCTCGAATACGTTGAGTAAGGTGACAAAGTCATTGCTGCCTCCAGCCTCCAGCGCCAGTTCCCGGTGCCTCAGCTCGGCTTCCTTCTGTTTCTCCGGCTTCCCTGTAGGAACAGGGCACAGGATCTCAGCCCACTGTCCTCCTGACCAGCTGGCCAAACCCAACCCACACGTTTCTTTTCCATGACAGAAAGAACAGCCAGCCATTCAGCCCATTGAGCCTGCTCCTTTGTTCATGGCAGATCTGGTTGTGGCCTTAACTTCACTTTCCTGTCTGTGCCCCATAACTCTCGTCTCTATGGTCAATCATTAATCTGTCTAATTCAGCCTTGAATATATTCAATGACACAGTTTTCACTGCTCTGTGGGGAAAAGTACTCCAAAGACTAATGACCCCTGAGAGAAGAAATTTCTCCTAATTTCCATTTTAAATAACACACCCTTATTCTGAAACTCTCTTAATTCTAAACTCCCCTACAGGGGGAAACATCCTTTCAGCATCCAACCTGTAAAGCCCCTTTGTTGTAATAAGATCTCTCATTCTTTTAAACTCCCAGCCTGTCCAACCTTTCCACACAAGATTAATCCCGCCATCCCAGGGACCAGCCTGGTAAATCTTCAATGAACTTCCTTCAATGTAAATAAATCTTTCCCAAAGTAAGGTGGCCAAAACAGCACACTCCATCGCTACTTGTCACAGTTTCAAGAGGTTTGAGATTGGTTTTCCCATTATCACAGTTGTGGGACTGTGCCTAGCCATTGGATGACATGGGGCTACCATCTCTCAATGAACCAACTCTGAGCTGGGCAGCGGTGCACCCAGATTTGCTCTCTCTACAATCAGTCCTGCCCCTGCTGGAAGCTTACAGATGCCTCCCTGCTGTGTGCAATTTTGTGTTCCTACTGCCGGTAATGTACCATTGCCAAATCTCCTGTCCCTCTATTTTCCTGCAGCTTCAAACTTTCCCCAGGGTGCGGACCACTTTCTCCCCCCACACCTCCAACAAACCACCCACCTAGAAGTCTCCAACTGATACCTAAGCAATTGTTCTTCACACCGAAGACTCATTAAGGAACCTCAACTGAGGGTGAAGTCGGAGGGGTTGGGGGTAGGGCGGTGAAAAGGGGTAAGGGCAGTTATCATGTTGCGTCCTATATGACTCTAACACAGGCCCATGTAGCAGTGATTTTTGGGCAGCAAAGAGTTCCATTGTTGCCTGGTCCAGTTTTTCTCTTCAGTACAGCACGTCTTGGAGGAGGACTGTAGTAGCACTATGGCCACCTGTTGATGTTCACTCAACAATTATAGTATGTTATTTCTCAGGGAAAGGTACACACAGCTGTATTTGGAGCTTTTATACAAGTGTCACATACATGATTTACTCCTAGTTGTGTGTTCCTGCACTAAGTTGTTGTGTCAGAAAGTCACCAACATTGGATGGGCTCTCACACCTAGTCAGAAGGTCATGGGTTCAAGCCTTATTATAGAAATCTGAACCCATAACATAGGTAAGTGTTTAAGTGCAGTTCTGAAGGAATTCTGTATCAGAGAAGTTTAACTGTCTGATCAACTAATAAAAATTCAATTCAAAGCAGACGATTTTCCTGATTCTGTTAGAGGATCTCAAACTTCTTTGTGAAAAATAGACCAAGACGCGAAAGCTTTGGTGGAGTTGGTTTGACATTTGCCACAGATCTTACAGCTCCACTCTGAACAATTTCCCCACCCCACTTCATGCTGGCTGGCTCTTTTTTACATAGACATCTAAGCATTTGTTAATCAACCTGTTCAGAGATGTTGTAACATACCTCAGAAACAGGCAGGACTTTAAGCCAGGCATCCTGGCTCAGAGGAATGGACACTGCCACTGTACCAGAAGAGCCCTAGACATCTAAGTATAATTATCTAACTAACAACCAACATTTGTTTACCTATTACCTTCAGTGAGTAGATATTTAGAATCCATTAACAGAACCCCTTTGACGCTAACACATTCCTCCAGCAACCAAAACCAAAAACATAACAAACTGCATTCATATAGCATCTTTTTAGGGTATTTTTTCATGAAATGTAAGTGTCACTGGTTTGGTCAGCGTTCATTGACTCTTAACTGTCCCCGAGATAATCACATTGGAGTCACACATAAGGCAGACTGGGTAAGGTCAGCAGATTTCCCTCCCTAAAAGAAACAAGTGAACCAGATGAGATTTTTTATGATAATAGACAATGGTTGCATGGTTGTCATTCAGCCAGGTTTTTATCCCAGATTATTATTGCATTCAAATTTCACCTTCAAGAAAGGTGCGATTTGAACTAATATCCCAGAACATTAGCGTGGGACTCTGGATTACTAGTCCAGTGACATTACTACTACCCCACCAATGCCCCTCTTTACTGTAGCAAAATGCCCATGAATTGGCCAGCCATTTCATCGCTGTAAAATCCTGTAGAGTATAAAGTGCAGAGTATAAAGTACTTTCCTCCGCGTAACAATGGCTGCAGCTCAGTTTTTGGGTGTGACATGATAAGTTGCCAGGTCTTGCTCAAGAGATTCTTCCTCAGCCCCATTTTTACCTGGTCGAATGAAAACGCTTTCCACTGAAAGCATTGCAGCCACCGGAAGCAGAAGATATTCGCAGCCTATGGCTGCCGCTTTAATCAGTGCCCGGGTCAGAGATGGCCGGAGAGGAAACTCCACCATCAGCCTCCCCAGTTTGGTCACACAGCCTGTCCTGAGAAAAGAAGAAACAGAAACAAGCAATGATTAGCAAAGATAACACAGTGGGGAGCTGGAGGAGCACAGCGGGCCAGGCAGCATCAGAGGAGCAGGAAAGTTACGTTTCGGGTCGGGACCCTTCTTCAGAAGAAGGGTCCCAGCCTAAAATATCAACTTTCCGGCTCCTCTGAAGCTGCCTGGCCTGCTGTGCTCCTCTATATCCACAATGTTACTTCTGACTCGGCAGTTCTTACTATCTCTGAATAATTAGTAAAGACTCTGCAACTGCTGACCACTGGCTAGTCCCTCAGGTGAATGTTAAAGATCCAAAGATACTATTCCCAAAAGAGTTGTGGTGTTCTCTGCAGTGCCCGGGACAATATTAACATCACCAAAACAGATTAGCTGTCCATAGGAGGTGGCAATGGTGTGTTGGCAATGTCACTGAACTAGCCACACCCTGAGGCTCAGTTTATCAGGTGCTAGTGCCATTTAAGTACAAATAACAAAATCTGGAATCAACAGCTAGTGTCGGCAATAGTGATTATGCAACGATCATCTATTGTCGGTGTGAACCCACCCAGTTCACTAATGTATTTTAGGGAAGGAAATCTGCCGGCCTTAGCCAGTCTGGCCAACATGCGACTCCAGAGTCACTGCAATAATGGTTGCTCTTAATTGCCCTCCAAAGTGGCCAAGCAAAACACTCAACTCAAGGGCACTTGGGGTGGACAACAAACGCTGGTGTTGCCAGCACTGCCCACATGCCATAAACGACTAAGAAAAAAAATCTAATTGCTGTTTGTGAGATCTTGCTGTGAAAAAAAAGGCCACCATCTTTGCAACATTCCAACAGCGCTTTGCAATGTCCTGAGAATGTGAAAGGTATTACTTAAATGCAAGTCTTTGTCTTTTATTGGAAAAGAGTGAACAGGATGTCAACCAGGGTTACATGAGACTCTTTAATAAGCTCAGGACTATTAAAAGAGGGAGCATAGGGGTCCTCAATGGATGAATCATTGTGTTATTGATTAATATGGACCTCCAGTATGGTCTTGGGTGAGCCAGCTGTCTTCTGTAACAGGGTGGGGTGGGCAGCTTATGTTTTCTTCAAAGTCCAGAGGGTGGTGGATGATTTAACTAACAATTGTGGTTCCTCAAATAATAACAAACAAGCCTGAAATATTCAAACGGTTATTCAGCAATTTTAAGAGAAAGACAGCATAACATTGTGGACACGTGTTTTAGGCGAGTGTCGGTTGGGCAGCACATTTTGTCACTGTGTTCGAGGGTTGTGGGATTACCCCCAGGACACAAGCTCATATTCTAGGATGACTTTTGCGATGCTGTTTACACGAGCATGGAGTCAGTCACTCACCTGTCAATAGCGTCATTCTGGTAGAGGTTCTTCAGTGCCTCCAGGATGTGCCTCTCCTCTGGGC